ACACTCTAACACACACACACACACACACACACACGCTCGGTTATGTGACTGTACTGTGTTTCTGTGTGCAGAAGGAGTGCGACAAGACGAAGTCTCAGAGAGACCAGGAGGAGAAACTCATCGTATCTGCCTGGTACAACATGGTGCGTATCAGCACGGTCACAAGAACATGAGAACATAACCTTACACTGCACTTGAGCCCTGCCTCTCCTCTAGCTGTCTGGATAAACCCTTCTGATGCTAGCTTATGCTGAGGGTTAGTGCTGTCACCACATGATAATCTCAAGCTTTTACTTTGGTAAAAAACTGCAGGAAGTTCTTTAAGTTTTTGTCACAACAGGTTTACAGATGCATCTCATGCACGTTAAACTCGCAGCACATGCAGAGGAGGAGTTCACTGAGTCGAGTGTTGCTTGTGTAGTAATGAACAAGCAGTGCAACGGACTGCATACTTCTTTTATTCAAACACGTGTCACGACTGACTGTCAGAGAGAAAGTGAATGGATACTGCAAACAAAAGTATTAAACCGTTTCAAATATATTTAGAATCAGTATGTATTGAAAAATCTGTCTGAGTCTCAGTTTATTAATAAAGCACAATTAAAACCACAGTTGACCACTGTACTGAACAATGTTTTAAAAAGACTTATAAAAACATGTATATATACAAACCAAGCAAACAACAACGACATCACAAGTCATAGACTATAGTGAAGAGATACGTTTTTAACTTTGATTTAAAAATATGTAATGTTGGTGCAGTTCTAATATGGATTGGTAAAGTGTTTTAAAGCTTAGGTGTGGCTATGGCAAAAGCTCGATCACCCCTGGATTTTAATTTTCGACTTTGGAAAAGTTAACAAACTCTGGTTGGCAGACCTAAGTGTTCTCACCAGATGATGTTCATGCAACAAGTCAGAAAGGTAAGAGGGAGCGAGGCCATTTAAAAATGTAAAAACAAGCAGAAGCACTTTAAAATCAATTCTAAAGCGGACTGAGAGCCAATGTAAAGACATTAAAACAGGAGTAATATGTTCACAATTACAATAATCAATTCTAGAAGAAATAAATGCATGAATTGCAGTTTCAAAGTGCTTAAAAGAAAGTCTTCACTTTAGCCAGCGCTCTTAGTTGGTAAAAACATGATTTGACAACTAAATCAAATTCAAGTGCACTATCAAATAAGACGGCCAAGTTTTTTTTTTACACATGATTTAACTTAAGAAGATAAAACACCAGAATTAGACCAAAAGATATTTTAACTGTGAAATTAAAACCGCCAGCAGGTGGCAGCGAGACACTGTTAAAGCGAGTCATTGCATTTGACCTGAATCATTTAAACCAGTGGTGTCAAATTCAAGTTTAGCTCCAACCAGCTCCAGCTCTCACCTGCTTGGAAGTTTCTAGTGATCCTGAAGAGCTTGATTAGCCGGATCAGGTGTGTTTGATTAGGGTTGGAGCTAAACTGTGCAGAGCTGTGGCCCTCCAGGAATTGAGTTTGAGACCAATGATTTAAATGGAAGATTAATTCAATCAGGAACGTAAATAATAAAAGATACTCTGAATGTGAAATTAAAACCGCCAGTAGGTGGCAGCAAGTCACTGTTAATAAGTGAGTCAATGCGATTGAACCGAATCATTTAAACGATTAATTCATTCAGGAACAAATCACCGTCATGTTGCTCAGAGACGCAAAACAGTGCTGTAGCTGTGTTTGGAAATATTTTTGTTGCTGAAATAGAGCAAAAACAGGCAATATGGTGTCTAAAACTTAAGTTTCTTCATATTAACTTCTTGTTTATTGAACTATTCTATAAATTCAATACCACATTTGTAATCATGCTGATTTTTGGAGAAAAAAATGGCACTCTGCGTTTGATATTGATTAACTATATGAAATTATATAAATGTATACATTGTCTACCCCCCGTATGTGATCATTCTTGATGCTTTTTAATAGACTGCATCATGCAGTGAAAGAACGCGCACTAGTCTAACCTACTAGACTTCATGTAATGCAAGCGTGCACTCTGTAGGTGTGTTTTGTTTGGTTTTGTGATATACTCGATAATGTCAAATTGCACATCCTTAAAACAACAATTGCAATATTATCGCAGACCATATATATCACACACCCCTATAGACAACTCTAGTACAGGTGTAGTGTGCACTAGGTGGTGTACTTACACTAAGCACAGTAACAGATGTGTCAGATATGAAGGGTTAAATCATGATCTGTGTGTGTGTGTGTGTGTGTGTGTGTGTGTGATGGCGCTGCAGAAGAAGGCGGCTGAGGACCGGCTGGCCAGCACGGGGTTTTAAAGCTTAGGTGTGGCTATGGCAAAAGCTCGATCACCCCTGGATTTTAATTTTCGACTTTGGAAAAGTTAACAAACTCTGGTTGGCAGACCTAAGTGTTCTCACCAGATGATGTTCATGCAACAAGTCAGAAAGGTAAGAGGGAGCGAGGCCATTTAAAAATGTAAAAACAAGCAGAAGCACTTTAAAATCAATTCTAAAGCGGACTGAGAGCCAATGTAAAGACATTAAAACAGGAGTAATATGTTCACAATTACAATAATCAATTCTAGAAGAAATAAATGCATGAATTGCAGTTTCAAAGTGCTTAAAAGAAAGTCTTCACTTTAGCCAGCGCTCTTAGTTGGTAAAAACATGATTTGACAACTAAATCAAATTCAAGTGCACTATCAAATAAGACGGCCAAGTTTTTTTTTTACACATGATTTAACTTAAGAAGATAAAACACCAGAATTAGACCAAAAGATATTTTAACTGTGAAATTAAAACCGCCAGCAGGTGGCAGCGAGACACTGTTAAAGCGAGTCATTGCATTTGACCTGAATCATTTAAACCAGTGGTGTCAAATTCAAGTTTAGCTCCAACCAGCTCCAGCTCTCACCTGCTTGGAAGTTTCTAGTGATCCTGAAGAGCTTGATTAGCCGGATCAGGGGTGTTTGATTAGGGTTGGAGCTAAACTGTGCAGAGCTGTGGCCCTCCAGGAATTGAGTTTGAGACCAATGATTTAAATGGAAGATTAATTCAATCAGGAACGAAACACCGTCATGTTGCTCAGAGACGCAAAACAGTGCTGTAGCTGTGTTTGGAAATATTTTTGTTGCTGAAATAGAGCAAAAACAGGCAATATGGTGTCTAAAACTTAAGTTTCTTCATATTAACTTCTTGTTTATTGAACTATTCTATAAATTCAATACCACATTTGTAATCATGCTGATTTTTGGAGAAAAAAATGGCACTCTGCGTTTGATATTGATTAACTATATGAAATTATATAAATGTATACATTGTCTACCCCCCGTATGTGATCATTCTTGATGCTTTTTAATAGACTGCATCATGCAGTGAAAGAACGCGCACTAGTCTAACCTACTAGACTTCATGTAATGCAAGCGTGCACTCTGTAGGTGTGTTTTGTTTGGTTTTGTGATATACTCGATAATGTCAAATTGCACATCCTTAAAACAACAATTGCAATATTATCGCAGACCATATATATCACACACCCCTATAGACAACTCTAGTACAGGTGTAGTGTGCACTAGGTGGTGTACTTACACTAAGCACAGTAACAGATGTGTCAGATATGAAGGGTTAAATCATGATCTGTGTGTGTGTGTGTGTGTGTGTGTTCAGGGGATGGCGCTGCAGAAGAAGGCGGCTGAGGACCGGCTGGCCAGCACGGGTTCGGGTCAGTCTTTCTTGGCGCGGCAGAGACAGGCCACCAGCACTCGCCGGGCGTATCCGGGCCACGTGCAGCCCACCGCAGCCAGGTAGAGCGTCGCCACGGCAACCCTCACCGCAGCCAATCAGGACGCCCGACTCCACCCACCCCCCATCCTCGCTGTCTTAACATGCTCCGCCTCTCCACTGATCTGACCAATCGGGGTATCCGGACACGCCCACTTTAACCTATCCGCATTAATGAATGAACACACTCCAGACGTCTGTTCCTGTCGGACGCTTTTTAAAGGAGGCTTTGCAGTATTTTAAGGGTTGTTACTGACGCACAGTGTTTTATGTGCTCTTAGACTGGTCTAAGCTGCTGTTCCCTCTTCATTCTTTTACTCTGTCCTCTTTATTCTCCTTTAATATCTATGCATTGAAAGAGAGGACATTGCACCAGACATGATGTTTATTTAAACTTCCAGCGATTGGGTGCTTCTGGTTGCTTGTTTTGCTGATTCCTTCCCAATGCCTTAATACAGACTCACCGCTGCTGTCAATCACTGACTGACTGACACCTGTCAATCTCTCTCTTTCACAGTGACGTTAAAGCATGAGCGGCAGGGGGCGGGGCTGCATGACTGAGTGTGATTTGAGCTCATGCTGCTGAGTTTAACCCATCGCTGCACACTAATTAACCCAGATTGCTAACCGCTGTCCTCCCGATCAGAAGTGGGCGGGGCTGGCGCCTGTCGATCATGCTGTCGGTGCGTGGCTGTGACTGTTACGCTTTAAAGACGGATGAACTTCGACATGTTTTCATTTTAGTCGCATCATTGTGGAGTGATTCAGTGTTTTCTGTAGTCTATGAACAAACGAGTCTCGTCACACCTGCTTCATCAGCCGATGCTGGATGTGTTTCAGTAGAATCAGTGTTGCATCCGCTCCTTCTGTTTGTTTTAATCTAAATCAGTAAGTGCTTTGATGATGATGATGATTCTGACACAATGTTACAAACCGCAGCAGTACATATTCTGACATTTAAACCTGCTCTGCTGCTTTTCTTCTTCAGCTGTTACTAAATATTCATGTAATAGCGCACAGCGATTGCCGGACGAGACGTGATCGGTATATATTTTACTCCAGCAGTGTTCTTGTGTGGTTTTTAAGAGGCGATTGAACGTGTTTCTCATGAGTTCAAAGGTTAAACACAACCGTCCATGAGCAGAGAAACACCTGATCAGTACTTCTGATTCAGTACATTCGTAGCAAATATTCGTCGCATTTGCCAAGTTTTATATTGCTTGTATACAATATGTACATACTGTATGTGCGCGCGGCTGGAGGAACCGGTTAGATGCGATTCATAATGTGTCTCATTCACACTCTGTTGATGAATCTGTGCTTCCAGCGCTGCAAAACTGTACAGTTGTTCTTCAAGTTGTAAATAAAGCTTGTATATGTTTCAAAATCACGGCTGTTCTTTGTTTGATTGCCGTAGCCGATGATCTATTCCTCATTACTGTAAACGCAGCTGTGGACGCCTGCGGTCACAAATGCAAATGAACGAGATGAACGTAACGAGACTCTTTGCTTCTCGTTTCCTCCGCGCTAATCGGCGTTAGAAGAGATTTCCCGCTCTGTAGTTGATTTCTGCAGCTTTTTTGCTCTTGATGTTCGTCATGTCACTGTAACACGTTAAGCCCAAACGAATCGTGACCTCTGACCCCTGTGAGAGCGGCTTGACCTTTGTCACAGTTGTATCCTTCATCTGTAAATGTCAGAAAGTGTTTGCCGTCAGGAGTGAGCAGGCGGAGCGGTTTTATCAAACAGGCCTCTGAAGGTGAAAACTGTTGTGTTTGAGCACCTGAAGCTCAGAGATCCTCCAGTCAATCTTACAGCTTTGCTTTTAGTTTTGTATTAAGGTAAGAAGTCATTTGTCTCTTCATTGCCAGAGTTCATTAATCTCCACTGGCTGTTCATGATATTTGATCAAGTACGTTTCTCTGTTTATTAATCTTAAACTCTCTGCGTTTCGCCAGGTGTTTCCTCACTGATAAAACATCATGTCTGGCGTGTTCTCATGCTCCTGTGCGGTTTACGAGATCAGGAGGAAGGTTTGAGAGGGAACGGACTCGTAAACGGGGTTAGTTTCATAGAAGCATATGCTGCACGATGCCATAGAAGAACCTTTTGTGTCTAAATGGTTCCATAAAGAATCAATCTGTTTCACAAAAGGTTCTTTGTTTATGAAAGAAGGTTCTTCAGATTGTAAAAAGGCAAGAAAGAGATGGTTAGTCTTGTGGAACCAAAACTGGCGTCGCATCTCGTGGAGATCACAGCGATGATGAGCTTGTTCTCATGCGCTCAGAACAGAAACATTAGCCGAAGCGTGTCACAGGCGTCTTTAACTCTCCTGGCTCTGATCCAGCCCAGAACTGATGTCATTTCAGAAATTAGCGCCGTCATTCAAAGAGGATTATTCTGATCGGTCGAGCCTCAGGAAAACTGGCCTCACAATGTGTGCGTTTATGAAACTCTTGGATTTTAATTGTAAATGACCTGTAGCCGCAGACAGCACAAAGCGCTTATTGACGATCTCTAGCGCGGGATCGACTTCGCTCCTGACGCTTTAATTAAAAACACAGGTGAGAGACGCCGGACCCATGTCCTGAACACCAGACCCGCTCATTTCACTCCAGACTGCACAGCTTTACTCTTACAAACAAAGGTGCTTCATGATGCCATAGAACAACCTTTTCGGTCTAAATGGTTCCATAAAGAATCTGAAGAACCTTTCTGTTTCACAAAAGCTTCTTTGTGGCGAAAGAAAGTTCTTCAGATTATAGAAAGGCAAGAAAGAGCTGGTTCTTGTGTGGCATCGCTGTGAAGACCCGTGTAAGCACCTTTATGTTTAAGAGTGATCCGTGTATTGCGCTGGGTTTGAGTCTCCGTTCATCAGATCAGCAGTGCTGTGGAGAGGAGTCTGAAACGCTTACATGATGTTTTACTGCACAGGTCTGTGGCTTGTGATGATGTTCAGTAAGTCTTTAAGACATTTTCTATAAAACTGCTTTCAAAAAACATGGATTATAAAAAGCTCTGTACGAGTCATCCTGACTTTAAGAGTCCTGTGACATCCGTAACAGACTTTATTCCCAGGAAACAAGCATTAAGATGAAAAAGTATTTACGGTGCGCACCGAACGACAAAGGGATGAAAGGCAGGAGTTTGTCTCACTGGAGTTTGATTGCAGGTCCGTCTTCTCAAACATCACAGTGTTCTTCAGACAGATGAGAAGAGACAGTAATGCTGGATGAACACAGCGTGCACAGAACAACAGTGTGTAAAACCTGCGCTGATTACAGTGTTGGGGAGAGTTCAAAGCAATGCATTACAGTATTGTGTTACTCCATAAAAAACTAATTGCATTACTTGGTTACTTTTTATGAAAAGTAATAGATTGTTACTTTTGCATTACAGTTACATGTAACAGAATTACGTAATTTAATTACAAAATAAATGTCACTGTAATCCGTTACAGTTACTGAGAAAAAAAATGTGTAATTTTACAGCTACTTATGAAAATGTTAATGATTACAAAGGGAGTTACATCTGAATATCTTCACACACATACTGTACAGATTTGATTGATTTCTTTCCCAAATTGCATCGACTGCTCTAAAATATGAGACAGCAATGTTTCAGGAGTTTAGGACTCATATATAAATAAACACAACAAATTGAATAAAGCTCTAAAATAAAAAGGAAAACAGGAAAGATACAAATAAAAAATGAAATATGAATCAAAACCAGTATCTTACTGATACTAAAATAACACTGATTAGAAGTGCATCACATCCCTGAAATCAGAAGTTTATGATCTGCATCCCACTACTGAGTTAATGATGTGGGTTGGTTATATATATGAAAGCTTATTGTCAGTTTTAATTAATTAATGTTTAACTGTAGCTGGAACATTTCTGTGGTAAATGAGAGCAGCTGCTGAATCCTGAAGTATAAAGATGTATAGTCTGTAAAGCTGAATGATTTCTGACGGTACGCTTGTAAACGAGGTGTGATCATCATTTATGATCATTACAGATTTGACTGTTCTGTTGGCATGTCCATGTCTTTTGTCACATTAGTGTGTTTTTTGTAGTTTCTTTGGCTTTGACACGATGGTTTTGATCTGTCTGGTCCAGTGGTTGTGATTCACTAAAGCTGTTTTCACTGAGGGTCATTCAGTTGTGATGTGGTCACATGACTGTCCGTCTGATTCGGGCCGGTTACTGGAAGTCCGGCTCATGTGGTGGACTCGGAGCTTTGGTCCAGACTGCTCTTCACGCTCAGCGCTTCATTTGTCTCTGAGTAATACTGCAGAGCGGTTTTTCTAGGTTTGACAAGCATGAGCTGCTGTTCTGAACTGCAGCAGAAGAGCGTGACAAACGTGTTCATCGAGGCCGTTTCTGACCAACACATTCCTCACAGAGTGTTCATGTTCATCTGTGAAGATTCCTCAGGCTCATGCTGAGCGTCTTCTGAAGGGCGAGTCTCAGTCTCCATTACTGCAGACATCATCCCTTCATCTCTTCAGCAGCACGGAGCAATCAGAAGCTGATGGTTTAGTCTTCATCATCTGTGCTCCTGCACTACTGAACATTGATGCAATTCTTTTGTCAAATTTAAAATGTTTATGTTTTCTCTAATAGGAAAAGAGAACAAAAACATTGATGACTCATCTTGAGTTCATGTGGCTTTGTTCCAAAACAGTTGCTTTTTGGCTCTGTATTTCTGGTAAATGCAATTAGTCAGTTGCCAAACCCCATGCTGCATATATATATAAACTTTTACATGTGTGTAAAAATATATTTCTAAATATAAAAAAGGGCCAAAAATGCTAAAGTATGTTTCAAAAAATATCTTCATATAAAATCAGTTTTATACCAATATATGTTTTGGCAATTTTTTGTGTTTTGAAAAAAAAAAAAAACATTTAAAATATATGTTTTGGCATCCATATATTTCAGTCCTAGAAAACTCACATGTGAAGAAAAACATTTTTTTGTTGTTTAAAACGTGTGTACATATAACACACATGAATAAAAATCAGCAAGGAATATACTTTACAAAAAAAAAAAAAAAGATAAAATATTACAATATATAAAAAATAAAACATTTTTAAATCATTGTACATCTGCATTTATCTAAAATGTGGCACAACTGTGTATTTCCAATTTCAAAAGTAGATTTCATTGAGCTTCACTGTTTACAACATACACATATTTTGTCTGGAATAGATTTGTATTTTTGCCATATGGGACCAAACAACAAATGTCCCTCTCATGTCGTTCCAAACCTTTATCACTTTCTTTCTTATATGAAACACACAAACATGAATGGATGTCGGTAACCAAACCATTTTGACTTCCACAAAATCTGCTTTCGAGTAATGATGGAGATGAACAGAGACGCCGCGCTGATGATTAATATTCTGCTTTGATCCGGTGCACCTGTTTCTGTCTGGTTTCTCCTCACACGCGTGTGCGTTTGAACATACAGATGTTTCTGAGCCCAGGCTTTGTTCTGTTTCCCAAAGATCTGTTTGATGTGAATCACAATAATCCAACTAACACAAGCAGCATCAAATGAGTTTCACAAATGCAAAACATAAAGAAATTATAATTACATTCATTTGAAAATATGGTTTCATTCATTCATTAAATACAAGTCAATTCAGGGTTGTTTAAATGAATATTTTTTCCCGAGTCTCTCTGTTCATATTTCACAAAATGTACTTCTCAGGTTTAAACTGAACTGCAGAGATGACCTGCAGGGGGTTTACTGGATCTGTCCAGATCAATGAAGAGAAATTCAGACAATAAACCACTCCGTTCATCAGCATTTCAGTCAGTCATTAGCCTGTGTCTTCCTGTAACATCGTTGTACTTTAAGATCCAAAGCAAATCTTAGAAATGCACTTAATAAAACAATCATGTTGTAGTAGAACAGCACAATAAAGGGGTTATCAGCCGTTCAGGAGAAACACGGTCCATATGTTACTGATGTTCAGTCTCAGCACAGATTCATCCGGACACATGTTCAGATCATCTGCTGGTGTTCATGCATTTCATGTTCAGTCTGTCGTGTTCATACAGTTCATAGTAATATTTACACATTTCACTGTTTGGGTTTTAGCATGTTTGTGTGTTAAAAAGTGTTAGTATGGCGTTTGATCACAGCGTGTCAGCTTTCTTATTCCCACTCCCGCTGCATTTCTGACCATAACCGCCCGCTCCAGCAAACAGTCTAATATTCTTTATAGTGTGTTGAAATCGCTTTTGAATGAGCGCTCGCTGTTCACTTTCGATCAGGTGCACTCGGTGTAAAGGAGCTCATCTTATAAGATCAGATACTCTATGGCCTGGTTTCACAGACAGGGCTTAGACTAAGCCAGGATT